TGACCCCATTTGGGTTTTCTTAGCAAAGATACTGGAATGGTTTGCCATTTCCTTCTCCAGCTCATTTTACAGATGAGGAAAGTGAGGCAAACAGGGTTAAGTGACTTGCCCAGGGTCACACAGTTAGTGTCTGAGGCCAGCTCTGAACTCAGATCTTCCTGACTCCAGTCCTGGCACCTATCATCTGCACCACTAGCTGCACCCCAGCTGACACAGCTGGGTGTTACTGCATTTGCTTCAGCTCGTGTTATGGTGATCTTTTTTTAGCTAGAATACTGCTGAACTCTTTCAGCTAGATTCAGCTTAGGTTTGGCAAAAACCTCTCCTGCAACATTTGATCAGTGTCTCCACTCTGAAGTTTGTCGCCTGCAGACAGGAGATGGGAAAGGTCTAGTTTCTCCTGTTCAACTATCCTTGCTGGTCCAGAGCAGTTCCTTTAGCAAAAGACTCCACTTTTGCTCATGCTGAGCAGCCTCATTGCAACCATTTTCACTGTCCACACTTCTGTTGGACTATTATGCAAAGGAATGGCAAGACACAAAGATGCAAATTCAATTGGTGCCCCAACAAGATCGTTGTTTATGCTGACTTTTCCGTATGCAGTTTAGCAATTGAAATCCCTGACCCTTGCTAAATTGTGGGCGGTTTTATTTACATCTGAAAAGAATTTACCTTTACTTTTACATTTCAGTATTATCATATTTGGCCTCAAGATTTTCAGCTTCGTTTAATCCACGGGTGGCAGGCCTTTACAAGTACACATATCATGTATTGTATATAATACATATAAAAGAAACAACATGAAATGTATAATAAAATCGTCCTTTTGGAGCCTTATTGTGGTCCTCCTAGAAAGTGGAGTGTAGAGACGGCCATGAGAAACTTAGTTTTAGGATGATGAAGTATTTTGATCATAGGAACACATGAAAACCATCTTTGCTAAACAAGGAGGTGGGAAGGATTGCAATCTGCATCAGTGGAGAGCAGTCTGCACCGGTGGACAAAATCTCATCATTGAAGTGACAAAATTATCCAGTTAAGTGACAAATGAAGTGGATGAAAATAAGTAAGGGTGTATACAGATTAGGGTATTCAAGGAAAGGTGTGTTGGCGAAGGAGGAGAATTGAACTGAGCCTTTGAGAATAGGTAGTATATATATGGGTTGGGGGGGGATTAAAGGGCAAGGGTAAGACATGGTGGCTTATAGTCAGTTAACAACCATTTATTAAGCACCTACTATGTGCCAGGCACTTTGCTAAACACTGGGAATACAAAAAAGGAAAAAGTAGAGTCTGTGCTGTTAAGGTGCTCACAGTCTAATTGAGGGGAGACATGTAATAACTATGTACAAACAAGCTATACACAGAATAAGTTGGAGATAAAGAACAGAAGTTAAGACTAGAATCAAGGGAAATCACGAAAGGCTTCTTGTAGAAGGTGGAATTTTAGCTGGGACTTGAGGAAGCAGAAAGGAGAAGGAAGAGCATCTAAGCACGGGCATCACCAGTGAAAATGCACAGAATAGGGAAATAGGGTCTTGCTCAAGGAATACAAAGAGGCTGGCGTCACTGGACTGCAGAATATGTGGAAGGCAGACTGGAAAGGTATGAAGGGGTCAGGCTGTGAAGGGGTTTGAGCTTCAGAGGATTTTACATTTGATCCTGGGAGCAGGCATGGTTAGACCTGAGCTTTACTAAGATCACTTTGACAGCTGAGTGGAGGAGACACTGCAATAGGGAAAAGACTTGGGGCAGTGAGCCCAACCAATACACTGCTGCAACAACCCAGGCATGAGGCGATGAAAACTTGCACCAGGGCAGCTGCAGCTTCAGCGCAAAGAAGGAAGAATTACCAAATGCAGTCGCAGTGCCTAATTTGGCCAGGGGCATTAGCTGCCTGGGATAGCTCCATTCTCCCGCGTAATGTCTCAGGGTAAGCATTCATGCTCTTTCTGCATAAGGATGGAAGTGCTCCAAGACTATAATCACATCTGAATATATTGCAGATTGCATCCTAATTATACTTCTTCCAATTTTATTTCATCAGAAACAAATAAGGAAATTCTCCATTCAGGAGAATTACTCTCCATTTGGCAGGACCAAGTCCTCAAAACTCAACATAGGCTGATGTGAATTAGCCATCTCTATTCTTGGGTATAAACCTCCAACTACTACTGTCATAATCTGACCCAGTCGGGTTCTCAGAACCTTAACTAGCAATGTTGCCACCTGAGGCAAGCAGTACTAAACTGGGGGCAAAATTCACTACCCTGACCTAGCTACCATTCTGTATGTTCCTATTTCCTCACAGACACTGAGTAATGGGATATCGCTAAACTTTTTTTTTTATTAATAAGCTACAAAACAACTCCTATGGCCTAATTTTCCATGGACTTCCAATAAGGAAGGAAGGAAGGATTTATTAAGCACATAACACACATATACACATATATACACATACACATACATACGTATATACAGGGGTGGCAGTTAGGTGGCACAGTGGGTGGAGTGCTGGGCCTAGATATATTTGTCAATAATGCAGATGTTATATACATATATGCAAATGTTTGTCAATAATGCAGATTAAACCTAAAAGTATGTTGGAATAGCTGGCAGTTAAACACTTACCAATATATCCCTATTTGTAAGTGTAGCAGCAGTGGGGTGGAGTGGGAATGTATGTGTGTGTATACATATACATATACATATATACATATAAAACTATTATCCAACTACAATATATTATCCAACTTAAAACTTTATGCCCTTTAATACCTTTCTATGTCTATCTATATGAATGAAAAAGAAAGAGGAGAAAAGCAGCTGAGCAGAACTAAACTACACATCCACAGATCACAATGCTGAATTCCCCACTCAGAGTTTCCCATCTTTGCCAAGCAGCACAGTAGCATTTTCTTATTGGTTAAAACAAAACAAAACCCAAGAAGATCAAATTGTAGGAGCAGACTAGGAAGGGGGCTATAGGGAGATCAGGAAAAGAAAAGGTGACAAGATCAAAGGACACTTACTCTTTGGTAGGGTAAATCTAATTTAGTTTTTATTTTAGGCCTCTTGTTGCTCAGATTGCTTTAAGTACATTGTTTAATCATCATCAGGGACTTCCTTCTTCTGTCCTCATTTTCCATACTACTGATGTTACTATTCTTGGTTTTCGTTTTCTTTTAATTTAGTGACAACAGTAACCTAGCTGTCACATTTCAACTGTTGTCTATGTTCCTCAACAATTTCCAGTTCACAAAGCTTTTCTCACAACAACCCAATTTCTGTCCAGGTATTCTGAAAGCTGTTCACCCTGTGCTCGTTTCAAAATCTGTCATCCTATTCAGAAACTGAGGTACTGGAGGTTTTGGTTAATAATAGTCCTACCCCTTAAGGCTCTGGTTTTTGCTTGTAACTTTGCGATCCTGTAATCTGTCAGCAGACTCTGTTTCATTTACTGGCCCTCTTTTTGGGCCAAGGGGACCTTTCCTTAACGTTGTCTACTTGATCAATGAATTGATGTGTGGAATAACAGATAATAATTTGTTACACTAATGTACAAATTAAGCTTTCTTTGTATCTCCAGTATTCCTGATACAGGAGTTTAATAAATAATTGTTGAGTGATTAAATGATAATTACAGAAATCCGTTTTCTTCTACTTTTATATATTTATCATCATTCAACAAAATTCAATATTCTTAAACTAAAAATTATTCCACAGTTGTCATACTCTACTTGGATTTGCCACCTAGATTAGCCATTTATCATTGCCTGACTTATTCATTTTAAATCAATCAATCAATAAAAGAACAAGCATCTTAAACCTGTGGCGCCCCTACGTGTGCCAACGCACTGTTTAAAAGATAAACATGGCAGAAACTATGAAAGACACTTGTTTACTCAGAACTAAACATGGATCAAAAATTTCTTTCTTTTAAAATTCTGAAATTATTGCAAAAGTGGGACTTTTGCAGAAGGTTTTAATTTGACTCCTCCAATATTTTTAGTACTCTCCAGTGATTCTCTCCTCCGCCCCCCAAATTGACAAGTCAGCTTTTGTGATGCCAAAAACATGGTATTCAAGGATGGAAAATAACCGACCGTTTTGTCAATGACTACGACAGGGTTTGTGACTTTTTAATATAACAGGAATGAAAAGGAATAAGAACTCTTCCCTCCAGTATACTGGCCAAACTTTTCCATGCCCTTTCAAGCTCAGAATCTCAAATCTGATGCCTTTCCGTCCTGAACTACCGTCGTGAGCTGCCTCCTTTAATTTCCAATGCCGTTAATTTTCCGGCCATTTCTCACGGTTACGGTCTTAAAAGAGGAATCTCCCCTCCCCACGACTGGCTTGTTTATCACAGCCCCATGCCTAGAAGGCGTCCCTCACCCCGACTTTCAGGACTCTTTCCCCTTCCCAGCCTTGGGTGGAAAGTCTCCAACGAGGGAAAGTGCCCTGCTGGCCTTTGCTTGCTTCACATCCACACCTGCCGCAAGGAATTCTTCATCCTTTTATGACATTTCAAATCTCGCCTCTCCATATCTCTCACCCTCGATCTTAAGGAAGTTATGGGGTAGGGAGTTCGGGCCTGGGTCCCCCAAATGTGATGATGCAGCAGTACACAAGGAGGGAAGGGGGACGTCCAGGGACCAGCTCTGTTCGTGGCTTTCGCCTCCTCCCCCACCCCCAACTTCGCCAGCCCAGGAGCTTGTTCGGGCAAGTCTGGCCGCGGGCCACTCGTGCAGCCCGGCCCGCTTCCTACTTCTCCTTTCTTCCTGGGGCCAAGCGGGTAAATTAACCTGCTCGCTCCGCCGCCCAGAAGAAGGGGGAGGGGACAAGGGAAGCTAGGTGCCTTAGGGCTAAGGTGCAATAGGGGAGGGGAGGAGAGGACAGGACGTGACTGCGGGGGAGGAAGGAAGGGGGAGAGGTTTCCCTACGTCACTGGGAAAGTCCCTTTTTGAGCCTGAGAGCCCGGCCTGGGCTCAGAACGGTGCAGAACTTCGCAGCGAGCGGAGTTCGGACCCTGCAGCTAACTCCTGCACCTCGCTCACGCGTTCGCCGCCGCCGCCGCCGCAGCCCCTCGCTAGCCGGCCACCCTCCAGAGCAAGAATTGTCAGCGGTCTGCTCCCTCCCTGTCTTACGGCCAGAACCCCCTTCGCCAGCCTGACCAGGATGTCTGGGAAGAACGCACCTGAACCTCTCCCGCCGAGTGAGTCCAATCCTTCGCCTCTGCAACCTGCAGGTAAGAGAGGTAACTGATCTGAGATGGGGAAGGGCTAGAGTCAACCCGGGGATTGCAAGTGGGGACTCTTAGAGGCGACGGTCCTTCTAGTTTAGATCAGGTCAGGTCACAGTTCGTCCACTCTCACAGGACCATAGATGTATTTACAGACGACAGAATTTTGAGACCTGAAACCGTTAAACGAGCTCAAACTGACTTGGTGTGGGATAGTTCGAACCCAAGTCCTTCTCAAATCTACTGAGCCTTGCATTGAGCCTTACTCCTGACTTACCCCTCGATTCCAAAGTTGGAAAGGGTCAGATTTCTAATCCCAAGAAACGTAGAGGCTGGTGCTGGTGGAGAATAGCTTGCTTGGGAGGGGGGAAAGGCTTCGTTAGGGGTGGAGTGGCGAGGTGGATTTCTTTGATTGCTAGGTCAAGACCAGCTTGGGGCCGGAGGGAAGAAAGGAAAATGCCAAGGTCGGGCATAAAGGTGTTTCTAATCTCCGCCTCATTCACCCGCTCTGTTTAGCGGCTTGTGGGTTGAATGTATATTTGCCTCCTTTGGGGGAGAAAGTCGGAACTGGAGGCTTAGGGGTGCTAAGTAAGATCACTGAACTTGACTGAGGTTGGGGGCGGGGTAGAGCGAACAGCCCTAGCAGAAACTTGCTTCAAGGAGACTAAACCTCCCAGGTCCTTATAATTTAACTGGATCCTTGAGCATCTCTGGATTACAGCAGTACCCTGATGACTCCTCCCCTACTCACACGTATCGAGCATAAAACCACAAACTTAGGTTTCCTGTTTAAAAAAACAAACAAACAAAAAAAACCCTTGAACATCTAGGGCTGTAAATCAGGGTTTAGGACTGATTTTATCAGACAGTTGTTGCATCATGCAGTTTTTATTTCCTGAGAACTTTTTGGGCATTTCAAAGAAGCAGAAGCTCTTTTGACCCTGCTTAGATTATTACTTTGAGTTAGAATAGATTGGCCCTCTTGGGTCTATAACTGGATCCAAAAAAGTTCAGAAAAGTCAGCTTGGGAATTTCACTATCTAGGGTAGATACAAGGGTTGTTTTGTGTTTTTATAATCTGTTTTCTAAATTAGTAAAGAGCCTCAAAATTAAGCTAATTTGTAGGAATCAACTATTTAGAAATAGTTTACGCTTTTTGAAAAAATGTCAGATCAATTCGAGAAGTCTTAAGTTCAAGAATATCAACAGTCATTTTACTTTAAATATGTTAATTTTGTTTTTCCAGATGCAGAATTCAATCAAGGTACAATTGAATTGGCCAAACGAATTGTAGAAATTGGAGACAAGCTGTATTTTGAATACCTTGTTCGAAACTTCTTGTCCACGATTTCCGACACAACCTGAAGTTAACTGACAGATGGCTTTAACAGATCTCCAGTACGTTGGATGTTGCAAAAGGTTTTGAGGGCAAAATGTGGATGCTATAAGTGAATGCTATAAGGTTTGTCAGAAGCCATTCTTTTCAACCATGGAAAATCAAGAGGATACTTGGAACCTGGAGTATTTGCATTTCAGCATTTTCAATACGATTCAGTGGCAAACTAATGTCCATGTGAAATGTTACTTGTCACTAACAGATACAGATAGAATGTTTACCTTGAACAATGTCTCAGCTCTAAAATAGGATTTCTAGTTACATTTGCATTATGACTGCTGAATGTTTCAATCTGCATACACTACCATGTAATTTCCAATTACATGTGTGTGTGAAGAACTTGGATCTTACCAACATCTTTTGGGCCTTATCTGGTTTACGTAGTGAATTGTATTGGGCTGGTTTCTTTTTGATGTAATTAGTATATGGATTTGAAAGAAAATGGTGGGGTCTTTTTGTAATGTGCCTTCAACTTATTTATTTAATTTATGGTTAAATTCTAATAGCCCATTTTTGTATTTAAAAGGTTATGCTATGTGAGGACTGTGTATGACAAGTGTTTGGCATGTTGCAATAAAGTTATATTAAAAACTGGATGAACCATCCATGTTTGTCTACCTTTTGTGACTATGGGAAAGTGTGATTTAATGGGACCTTCTATCATGCAGCACTTAATCTCTAGCCCAAAATCTCCAACCTCCTCTAGGAAGAGAAGTGGGGCCTTGGATTCTTTTATAATCTTTCCAAGAAGGACAAATCTCAAGCATTGTCTACTATATTCTAGAGGCTATGGGAATACCAGTGAACAAACTGAAAAAACTTAATGAAGGAGCTAAGGTGGTATGCTGAGCCTGAAGTCAGACTTCAGTCTAACCCCAGACACTAGCTCTGAACCTGGGCAATTAACCCTCACCTGTAAAATGAGTTGAAGGAAAGGTTAAACTACTCCACTATCTTTACTCAGAAAACTTAAGTCAGACTAAACGATAACTAAATTTAAACAATAACAAATTAGGAGAAAGGAAAAGTATGAAGCAACACTGGAACTTGTGGGTAGTGGTGCTTAAATGGGCCATGAACAGTACTGAGGCATTGTACAGTACTAGCAGGCATTGATGTTACCTTGAATTCCAGTGCTGGCTCTGGGTAAAGGCAACCCCTACCTAGTTGTGTAACTTCCCCTTTAATTATCCTCTCAATGCAACAGTTAAGTGTTTCATAATCTGCAGCTAGTGTGGAGCTGGGGCTGGTCTATGGGTACCTCCTGAGTGAAAACTAGACAGTACGTTTCAAAAGTCTGGCAACTACACCCCACCCCAAATAGCTTGATACAATTTTTGGAAAGGATACTGGATACTCTAAAGTAACTGGGGAAGAAAGTTATCCCTTTATTCTTACTTTAGGCTAGGGCCCCTCTCTGCTTTTCAGTCTTTATTCTGGAGTTTAATGTAAGTCATTACTAGACCCTGCCATCCCTTCAAACTCTTCTTCAGAGGCAGCTTTAGCTATTTCTGTATCTCCATAACTAAACCCAGAAAAACCCTGCCTTCATTGTCTTCCACTTATTAGTGCTTTATTTTTCCATAGGCTAGATTTATTACCGCACCTTAAGTCCATGGAATTATTTTGTGTGACAATTTTAAGCAAAGATATATAATAACTGGTTCTGTCTGTCAATGTACACAGTATTCTCTTGGTATAATCTGTTCCCCCTACCTACAAATGCTCTTATCTCATTGGATCATGAATTTAGAACTGGAAGGGAGTTTTGAGGCCATCTAGTTTAACATCTTCATTTTATAATGGAGGAAGCTAAAGCCTGGGGAAGTGACTTTCCCAAGAGTAGTAAAATAACAAATGGAAGAGCATTTATATTTGTTATGTCAAGCACTTGCAAAAGTTCTGGGGATACAAAAAGAGGCAAAAGATAGTCCCTGCCCCCAAGGAACTTAAAATCTAATGGCAGAGAAACAACACATCTATGCAAACATAAAACATTGCTCCCCTTATCAATGGGTGGGGGAGGGACGGAAGGGAATTTGGAACGCAGTAAAAAAAAAAAAAAATTAAGGGGCAGCTAGGTGGCGCAGTGGATAGAACACCAGCAGCCTCAGACCAAATACTTGACACAACTAGCTGTGTGACCCTGGGCAAGTCACTTAACCCCAAGTGCCTAAAAAAAAAATGTGAAAAAAACCTTAAAGTATTAAAAAAAAAGCAATGTTTTATATATTTGTATAGATGTTTTTGATTTGGTGATCTATAGGGGTTCAGAATCACTGGAATGTGTAAGGTATGGCCAGGTGTGAGAATGTTCATTGAGCAGAAGGCCCCACTTCTCTTCCCAGAGGACGCTGGAGATTGGGCTAGAGATAAGTGCTGCATGAGATAGAAGGTCCCATTTCACTACTCCCCTTCCTTCTGAAGGCTGGAGATTAGGTAGGGGATAGAAGTAGAACCTGCTGAGGAGAGGAATGAAGTCCTGCTCCCCACTGATTTTCCCTTCCTCTTTCCTCACAGGGCAGGCTCAGCAGGAGATGAGTCTCCTGAGGTCAAAGGGAAGGTTGCTCCTCTTTGCCTTTGAGAGATCAGGCTGACTGAAGGAGGTGCTGGCACAGATAGAAGTTGTTTCTATTGCCTCTAGCTGTTGTTGTCTTTCATTCTCTTTTTTTTTTTGGCTAGGCAATGGGGTTAAGTGACTTGCCCAGGGTCACACAGCTAGTAAGTCTTACGTGTCTGAGGCCGCATGCTCTATCCACTGCACCACCTAACTGCCCCTTGTCTTTCATTCTCGAAGAGAACCATGACATCAGGAAGGTGATTTAAGTGAGGGAGGGCTGTGCACTCACTAGCCTCACATTCTCCTCTGGAGCCATCTGGGTTGAATGGCCAGATATAAATCAGGATGACTGGATATAGCCCTTGATGCAGTGGGAGACCTTGACCTTATTAAGATAAGGTCTTTCTGAGTTCTCACTTTGACTGAGGCCCATTCAGTGATTAACGGTAGGTAACAAATGAGCCGAGTAATGGCCCTTTTTACCTAATCAAAAAAACAAAAAACAAACAAAAAAAACAATCTGGGAGGGGAAGACCCTCAGGGTTTCTAGCCAAAACAGAAACCAACAATGAGGACCTATTGTTGGTCAATCAATGACAGCCAGAATGAATTAGGTTTTGAATTAGGTCTTTAAGAAAGAAATGTAGCCCATAAACCCCAAGATCTCTTGCTAGGTTTGGGGAAGGGGGGGGAAGGAAGGAAGGAAGGAGCTGCATTGCCTAACTGGAACTGGCCGGTTGGGTCCCCACTGGGACAGCTGGGACTACTCACAGGTTGTTGTTTGTCCTTCGTTCTTGAAGAAATTGATGCCATGACTTGCAAGTGAATTGGATTCAGGCAGGGCAGCAGGGCTGTGCCTCGCTTTCTCCTCTGGGTCCAGCTCTATCCACTGCACCGCCTAGCTGCCTCTTCTTCATGTAATCTTCATATTCTGAATGACACTTTCATGAATTCTACATGCACACTTTCAAAACTATTCTGTTTGTACCTTGTTCTTGACTTCTTTCTATTTATTTAAAAACATCTCCATGGCCTTTTTTTTCACATCAATATTGCTTGCTTCCATGCTCTGAAGTCTCTTCCGACACACACATACACACACAGAGAACTTTTTTTTTTTGCTTTTTGGTGAAGCAATCGGGCTTAAGTGACTTGCCCAGAGTTACACAGCTAGTAAATGTTATGTGTCTGAGGCCACATTTGAACTCAGATCCTCCTAACTCTAAGGCTGGAGTTCTATCCACTGCACCACCTACCTTCCCCCGAGAGAGAACCATTTTGCAACAAATCAACATATAGTCAACCAAAACAAATCCATCCACTAGTTATGTCCCAAAATATATGTCTCTGCTCCTTGTGTCCATCATTTCTGTCTCTTAATACTCCTGATTGATAGAAGTCCAGTGACAGGACTGAGGAAGGCCCGGGGATGTAGTGGATGATCTTGGTGGCTTCTATGTCTGAGGACAAACAGCAACAGCAGCTCCTGATAGAAATGTGTGATATATTTTATTGTATGTCCTCTAGACATCATTGTATTAATCAGAATACCTGTCTTTCAAAATTGTTTTTCATTACAGGGTTGCTGTCCTAGAAAAAAAAATTCTCCTGCACTTTGAATCAGTTCATACTATGCAAGATTGTGTGGAATCATCTCTTTTATCATTTTTCTTAGCCCAATAATATTCCATTACAATCATATCCACAATTTGTTCATATTCACAAATTGTTTATATCCCAAATGTCTAAGAAACAATTTAAAGCACTACTCTAGATACTAGTTCTTTTTTTCTCTCCTCTCACCCTTTTTAATTCCCTCCAAGATCAGGAAATTTGTTTTGGTTGTGACTATTCCTTCCTTGGTATTATTCTCCCTATTAACCTCTCCTTCCTTATCCCTGTGTGTTTCTATATTGAGTCTGATGTATTTCTACACCCTATGAGTGTTCAACCCTTTTTTGTTAGTTTCAGATAAGAATGACATTTTTCTACTACCCATTTCCTCTACCCCTTCCTCCACGTGAGTTTACTCTTCTCACACATACCATTTATAAAAAATAACAAATTCCATCTCTTGTATTCCTCCTTTTACCCTCCTATGTTTTTCTCCTCTTCAAACCCTAAGAACAGAACCAATCCACCCCTAGGACCTCTGTTTTTCTGAATTAGCTCCCTAATACCCTTTGAAGATAATAAAATTCTGTTGCTGTTCAGTTGTTTCAGTTGTGTTCAACTCTTCGTGGCCCGTTGAGGGTTTTCTCGGCAAAGATACTGGAGTTGTTTGTCATTTCCTTTTCCAATATGGTTCTGAAGGGTCTCTTCTTCTTCCCCCCTTCATCATCATACAGGCATTTCCAATTGCTCAAATTTTATCTTTTTAAGTTCTTGTGTTTATATTTCAGAGTTCCTACTTAGTTTTGGTCTTTGCACCAGAAATGCTTGAAAGTCCTCTGTTCTGTTCCCTGTAGGATTACTAAATTCAGTTTTGAAGGGTAAATTATTCTTAGGTATAAATCTATCTCTTTTCTTTAGGGAAGACTGAATTCTTCACTTTCACCTGCTTTACACTAAAAGCTGACAGGCCTCATATGATTACTTGATTCTTGAATTGTTTTTTTTTTTCTAGACAGTTATAGCAGTTTTTTTTTGCTATGGGAGTTCTGGATTATTAAATTATCTCTCTTTGGACTGTTTTCTAAGTTACTTGTTTTTTACATCCAACATCTTACATTTTCTTACTTTTTTTTCTGTCTTTTGATTTTGTTCTAGTACCTATTTCTTGTTCTAACATATTTATTGATTTCTGCTTGATCTCTTCTAGATTTTAAGAAGTCCATTTCTTGGGTAAGATTTACTATTTTCTCTACCAAGCTATTTATTCTTTTTTCCAGAAATTTTACTTAATTTTTTTATTTGTTGCTTTGTTTTTTAGGTACTTAATGTAGTCCTTGTGGAGACTATTTTTTTCTGTTGTGTCTCTGCTTGTAGCTGTTATTGAGTTCCTGCTTTCTTCTTTTGGGAGACCTCTAGACCTTATAATATTTT